TCCATGCCCTCACACAGTTTGCTCATGGTAAACTGTGTTGCAGCCACCTCCACAGAAGCAATGAATGTTTGAGGGGGTCAATTTAAAACCAAACGAATCAAACTAAATCAATTAGCAAAGTCGGACTGTACAACTCCTTCTGTATTATTTGCTTACTGCAGTGTCATAGTATTTAAAGATCCACACAGGGAATCAAAATACAGAAACATTTACTACAGATAAGAAATGAGAAGGAAGCCAGAAGCACCATCTTTCAGACAGCAAGCAAGATAACCATCACTTGAGAATGTTGAAGGTGGCAGTGGGCAATGAAGTCATCTATCTGTCCTGGACTATTCTCTAATGTTTGTGTGATTGACACTAAAATCAGAATGGTTCCTACACAAACAGGCAATTATGATGTGAAAATGATGCTTTCTCTGTTTGACTGTTGAATAGATGATCCCATTTTGTTCTAGTGGCCAAAGATCAAAATTAGCCTTAGGATGCACCAAAAAAGGTAGTTTTATTGTTTTCAAGAGGTTTTTTCCCCTTAGTCTTTTCCCCTGTCTTTTAAATTGTCATATAAATTAAAGAAGCTTTTAAATTGTCACACAAATTTTACTTATTTAGACAGCAAGCGTGTCTTCTTGACATCTAATTCTATCTCTCATAAACGTCTTTTAAAAGTAGCAATACATCAACATAATTAAAAATCAAAATTGAGATTTATAATCCCTTATGGTTAAAGGCATAACTTCACTCTCATATTGACTTTTCACTATACAATACCTTCTCCTCTTCCAGTTTCTCCTGCTAACAGGAAATAAAATTACAATCTTCCTGCTGTTTGGTACAAACCAAGGATTCAATAAACACTTTTAACTAACTGACCTCCTCACTGCAAACCAATCTCCCTACTGATCCTAGGAGATTCAGGAAGAGGTGGATTTGGTTGATTGTTTTTACTTTTTATTACATAAGTGAAACTGAGGGACAGGAGAAATGCTGAAAGAAATAGTTTTGCTTGCTGAGACACATTTTCAAGCAGATTTTAAAAATTGAGGGTTTGGTTTGTTTGGGTTTTTTTTGTTATTTTATAGATAGATTTTCTTAATGACTCACAAAGAATAAAGTCTTCTAAGGACTATCATATTAAATGATCATAAAACTCCAGGGCCAAATTCATCCAAACATAACTTCAGTGGAGTAATGCAAAGTAATTACTTACATGGAATTAAGAATTACTATTCACTTCATTTCTACAGATTACTTTTAATGCTCATGAACTCCTAAGTCAAAAATAGCTGACTTCACCCCCTTCCTGGAATCACAAAGGAGGAGTTCAGGTTTTGTTCTTATAAAACCATGCTGTTAAGTTCTTCCCATGCAAATAGCACTGATAATGATAAGACCAAAGGGCCTTTTTGGGGGCCACATTCCATATGTACAGAGACATGATGGAAGGGAGCAGCCCGTGTCTTTAGAGATGTCAGTGCTGACCTAAGAGTGTTGCCCTTGCTGCCAAAAAGCAGTGTGGAATCTTCCTGCAAGGTGAAGAGCACATGAATGTGGTTTGGACCAAGGTCCATTGACTGTAAGACTCACTTTCATGTAACTGTAATGAAAAGGATACTGGTCAAGCCACTGTTTAAAGTCTGAGGAATCTGAGAGAAATTAAAAATCAAAATGCAGACTTCATTGCCATATTTTGGTACCTTAAAAGCTGCATTTCTGATAGTTCAAAGTACACCACAGTTCAGTGCAAACATACACCTAGGCCAGCTGCATTCCAACTGAATAGAATGTCACTGGAGCTCATTCTTGGTCCACTTCAGAGAGACATGACTACATTGCCCACAGCAAGCAGAACTGAAGAATCTGTTGTTCACAAGAAGGCAGACAGGCTTATTTCTAGGGGAAGGACACTCTAGAAATACAGAATCATTAGAGTGACCATGGTGGATGGTCCAGATCTCCTCACACAGAGCCAAGGGAACCTAAGGCAATGCAGTAAAACCTGGAATTAGAAGGTACCGCTCTTCAAAATGGAAAGTAAATAAGAAGGCATGCTGACAGGCAGGCAGCCCAATAGGTACAGTGATCACAAAATACCTACAGCACTGTGCTGCAATCAGAAATGCTCAGTCCAAAATAGAGTGGACATCTCTTAGCGAGGCTAAATGGTCCTGCTTAAACAAGAATACTTTCTTAAAGTTAATTTTAGAGAGTGACATAAATCCCCTGTTCCATTAAATAGATTCCTTGGAAAGTCTTGTCTCGGTATACATTTGAAAAATTTAGAGAACCTGGGAATCTTATCCTGAAAGATAATTCAGCAATTTAAGTTAAGTAGATGCATTAAAACAAACCATACAGATGTGCCAATTTAGTGAACCACTTTATGGGGAAAAAAAAATACTTGGCGCCCTCTCTTTTTTAATTATCAGTAGTTTTCTTTGCAAGCAAAAGAACAATTTACATTGAAAACTAATTCTAATGAAACTAATCAAAAAACTTGTGACTTTGCAAAAGATTATCCAGGCTTTTATCTGCATTCTGTTGGGTAGTCCCAATGATTTAAGGGTAATTGCTCATATAGAGTGGTGATACAGGTCACATCAGTATTTGAACTGTACCCAATGTATATTGGTTAAAATACATGCTAAGGAGAGACTGATAAGTTTAATCTTCATGCCAAAAAAAAAAAATCAATATTGGAAAAGCAATAGGCAAAGTTCAACAAGAAAAAAATTTTGAAAGATCCTTTCCTGAGCCCTAATATACTGCTATTGAAGATTAGATATACACTTGGCTGTAAGGGAACACTGGTATGGGTTTGTCTATTTAATTGTACCTCTCTTCCTAAATCACACACAGTAACTCCAGTTTACTCAACACTAACAGTGTTAGCAAAAGACTCAGAGTTACCCCCTGTGCTCACAGGAAGGTGAGCTCCCCCATGACCTAGTATTTTTCATCTCTGGCAGACTGGTTCAGAAGTTCACAGAAGTTGTGTATCACTGCTACACAAATTCATATCACTCACTGAAAAATAATAGGAAGAAGTTAAGCCAAAATGGTGAAAGCTGGTCCATAAGAATACAAATCTGGATTTTGTTCAAGTACCAGGATAGTAAACAGGAGAGTAAATAGCACTGGCAAACACAGCTGTAGCAAGATATAGATGCGAATTCACAAAGGAAAAACCTTGTCTTCAGATGCACTCAGTTCTTACCTTCTCTTGCCTTGCCTTCCTCCCATCCTCACATATATATTGTACTTACATACTCTTTCAGAATAGGACATTAACCCATGCCTTCACATACTGAACTGAAGAACTTTTAAAAGATTTGTTTCTGTCAGTAAAAAATTTTAATCAACACAAAAAATCCTCAAATACTCAAAAAAAATCTAAAGGATTTATAGGACTTTTTTGGTCAAGCTGATAATTTGATTACTTTTTTAGTATTTGGAAAGCATAGCTATAATGATTTCCAATTCTCACTCTGACAGAACAACTTTCAGATGCACATTAAAAAACTGACTGGGTTTGGCTGTAGATCTCTATGCCATACTTATGATGTGTCTAAGTAAAAGGCACAACAAAACTCACCCAGCTAGCCTTTAGCCCAACTCACCCTGGCTGTCCTTTGCTCAGGTCAGGGAACTTACCAAAATGTCCCAAAGTTCCTTTCTTCCCAAGATAAGCACATTTCCTTCTAACTGAGATGCAGGGGCATGGGACAGATCTCAGCCCTGCTCATCAAATCAGAGATGTCACCAGCACAGCCAGAATTGTGGGGAGCCCCAGGACTGCATCTCCCACATGACATGATTTTCCTGATTTGTAGCCACACAACAAAGGTTTCCAGCATCAGGTTCCAGATATTGTGCTGGCACTCTACTTCACAACTGCAGCTTAAGCCTTGCTCAATGCAGACACTGCCAGGCAGCACTTTGAGGCCTATGCTCTGCAGGAATTTGGATTAGGCACAGCACTTCTCTCTCACTTTAGGTTTCACTCTAAAGGTGCTCAAAACTACCCAAAAAAGTTAACAGTCCATCCTGGCTGTCTTTCACTGACTGTGGTTGCTGCTGCTTCAAAGCTTTCAAAATCCACCTGAAATATTTTGGGGTCTATAAATTATTTCTAAGCGCTTACAAATAGAACTGCTAATACTGTATCTGTCTCAACAGAAAAGATTAACACCCCTGCCCAGCAACCTGCACCTTTCCTGGTGTGGGAGAGGATGCATAAGAAACACGCACTATTTGAGGTCTATTTGAGGTGTGGTGTGTCAGCTGTCAGAATTGTGCTATATTGTGCCATTTTAGTGTTTGCAGCCTCAGCCATAGGGATTCTCTCTATGTCTTTATGATACATTTTTCTGAAAGAGGTATGTTGTCATTATATTGCAAAGGTTTCATATTTCTGTCTCCTTAGAGCAAGAGTCTCATACCTCCTTGATGTTTCTTATAAGCAGCTCCTCCAAGCACTGACTCTTTCTTCTTCTGGTAGTAGTCAACTGACTCCAATTCCCCTCAACCAACCAATCTACTCTTTTATAGCACTCTTCTTATTGGCTACAGCTGTGGCCTGTTAAAGTCAGGCCTGCTCCTAATCTTTAACAATTAACCCAGCTGCAACTCTTTAGGGGCTAAGATTACTTTCTATATTTTCTTATATTCTATCCCCCTACAGAGGTATAGGAGGACATGAAAACTACTTTATCTCTGTGTGTTTTCTGACACCAAGTAGAGAAGAAAAGTCAATTGTCTGATCTTGAAACACATCAAAATTGGCCTGTGGTGGCTATTAACACTGAGACTAATTTAGAAATCTGGTGATCCATGACCCCTCCATGGCAATTACAACTGCCCTGATGTTCCATTAAGGTTTTGCCTCTTTGTATCAGTGGGAGAATTATTGACCTCATGAACATATGTATCTGTCCTGCAAGGAAATAAAAATTAATTTTAATTTGCAGAAAAAACTTTCTGTTTGTTTTTATTCTTACCTTCCCTGCATGGGCACAGGAGTGAAATCCTTCCCAAGTGCAATGCAGCCATCCTCCCTTATTGCTGATTTTTCACACAGGGTCTGTGACTCTCCAAGGCTTGCTACCATGCCATGATACTCTTTAAATAACTGCAGCTCATTGCAACTTCTGGTCGCTGGTTTGGCTGCCACCTTTGCAGATAAAATGGTTTGATGTGATGATGTGTGATTCATCTCCATCTCTTGTTTAGAAACTGTACTGTAATCTTTGTTGTCCAAGTACATCTGTCCCTGGAGGGTGTTCTCCTAAAAAAGTGAAAACGAATATACTTGGATTAAATTGAATGGGCTCAATGTTTACTGCAGTACATGCATGTTAAAAATGCCAATCAGATTTCTTTGAGTGCATTTTTGGGAATTTGCCTTGTTCATTTATTTACACTAGGAACAATTCCAATGTTTTAAACATCTTTGCAACTTCAAAATTAGCCACTATAAGCACTGAATTAGATAAATAGATGGGTCATCTACTTCACCCATGTCTACCATTACTTTCTCCCACAAATCTCCCAGTGACTTGCACTGACTTATCCCATAAAATAAGGCAAAATCATCTCTGCATTAGTGGCACAAGAGTTGCTGCTGCAGAACATATTCCCAGCTTACAAGAGCACTGCTTCACCACCACCACACAGCTTCTCTCCAGCAGCTGTGGTGACAGCAGCCCCATGGAAGCCATCACTCTCCACCAGGCCTTGTGCTCCCTTGGAAAGCCCTGTCCTGCTGCAGATCCACCACGGATGATGGACCCTCATTAGGCAGAGCAGGTACGTGAGTTTTATGAATAGAGTGTGCCATTCCAGCAGTTGCCAGAGGCTTTTATGAAATGTAAATCAAACCTTGATGAAAATGAGGTTTTATGATATGATTATTAATGGTGATTATAACAAAAAATAGTGCATAACAGTTGAAAAGCTTTTATGTTCTCATCATTAAAATTCAATCTGAAAAGTTATAAAAACCACTTCAGAATCCCACAAAGTGCACAACTCAGACATGACAACTGAATTAAAGATCAACCTATCTTAAACACATGCTGTGGAGTTTAATCATGGGAATATTTCAGCATAAAGTGCCAAAGCCACTGCAGAGGACAGCAAGAGCTTGGGAAACAGGCCTGTCAGCCTCCAACATCCTTCAGGTGGGGAACATAGCCTTGTCAGAGCACATACCTGCTCCTCCCTGCAGAGATCTCAGCACAGGACACTTAGCTACTCCTGCAGGGCTGTGGGGCAAAAATAGCACAATAATAGGCTCTGCTTCAGTCCCAGTGTGAGAAATCACTTGAAACTGAAATGATAAACAGCTAATTATGATTTCATGCAGATTTGAGCTCTCATGGCCTTACAGATTAGATGGGAATGGAAGTTACTGAAACAAAAAAAAGACTGCACATACAAGCCACCACAAACACAGGTCTTAACCCTAGGTAAAGGTAGGCTTGATAACTAAATCTAAATCAGAAATTCCCCAGGTGGCAAAGCCTTCCTCAGTTCTGTATTTCTATTTCTTTCTATTTTCAATGCCCTTTGTTCTCATCTCCTAATATTTTTCACCTGTCCTTATCGTCCAAGCAGATTGACAAACTTGGCTCTTCCCATCATTGCACAATAGCTGGAGTATCGTGTCCAGTCCTGGTCCCCACAATTCAAAAATGATGCACAACTAGGCAAGTCCAAAGGAGGGCCACAAAGATGATCAAAGAGCTAGAGAATCTGCCCTATGAGGAAAGACTATAGGATTTAAGTATTTTCCTCCCTCAGGAAGAGAAAGCTCAAGGGGGACCTCGTTGTAGTTTCAGTAGTTAAAAGGTGAATACAAAGAAAACAGGCTCTCTCTTCACAAGCAGACACACAAAGAAGAAAAGAGGCAATGGATATGAGTTGCATGAGGATAGGTTTCTTCTCAATAACAAGAAAGAAATTTTTTGCAGGAAGAATAACAGCAACAACATCCCCAGGGGTAGAGGTCTCATCACTGCAGATTTTGAAGGCACAACTAAACAGGCTACACGATCTCATTGAGGCTCCCACAAAAGGTTAGACCAGATGGTCTTTTGAGGTCCCTTCCAACATGAGTTGCTCTATGAGTCTATAGTTTACAGCCTGAAAAAGACCAACATAAATAAGTTTTTTCTTAAATGTGCTTTATTGATTTTCTTGGAAGGGAAAAAAATGAAATGCAAGGTAGGGAGAGTGTGGTAAACAACAGAAAGCAAGAAGGTAGCATCTACTGCTTTCACAGGGCTCCCATATTTAGATATGGCTAGCATACACCAAAAAACACCAAAGACACTTCAAGTTTCAATGGCTTATACCTCTCCTCTAGATATTTCTATCAAGGGATGCCTGGTGTAAGGAGCACACACCTGGGTGAGGTAAAACCAAATACACTGTGAGTGAGCTGGTCCAGGGCTTCTCCATGGCTTGAAAATCACAGAGCTTTTGTGATCAAAGACAAAATCCTGAGGGAAAGTGCTGGAAAGCCAGGTTTGCCACTCTTGCATGGAATCTAAAGCTGGGAGGTGTTGGGAGGGCAAACACACCACAGAGAGGGCACCACTGCCCCGCCAACCCTTTATTGTCACCTCTGGCAGCCTGCTGCCCTGCCAGGCAGTAGGTTTGTCTGTCCTAAAATTCCAAATTGTCTTCCTTTCAAAAAATAACTTTGAAATGCAAATACTTCCAATTCCAACAAGAGGAGATAAATGCTTTTGTCTTCAATCCACTTTATATATTTATATACTGGTTTTATTAAAATACTCTGCAAATCATAATAGAGATATCTGCCTATTTATTCCATTTTTCATAACATTTGGCTTGTCTGAGTTCCTACGGTGAAAATACACAGATTTTAAAATTATGTCATGCTGTGGAAATGCTAAATCTACAGCAACTCAGGCTGTACTAGTTTTTAAAAGACATAAATCTGAACACAACCTCTGAAATTGACCCTTTCTGACCCTCCAAGTGGGGCTTTTTTTATCTTGATGTGAACAGGGACCAAACCAGACAGGCTCTTGTATGTACAAAAGCCTTAGCTTGAAAGACATTTATTTTCAGAATTAACGTCAACAAAAAAATAAAAGAATGTCAAGGACGAGAAGCTTGAGAGAAAATCTGATGTCTAGTTAAAAACCCATTAAAAAAAAAGGAAAAAAGTAACACAGCATCATTTTGCCACAAGAGGCAGGCATGATTGTGAATGCCTGTGTGGCTAAAACATTGCTAAGGCAACTATCTCCATGGTATCTAAGCTTCTAAGACATCAGTGCATCCAAGAAATTCTCAAACGATCACATATTGAAGTAGTTACACTTTTATTTCTTCTTCTTTTCTCTTACCTTGCAATGCCTCAATCAGCAATGAGACATAGGTGAAATGCTATCTTGTGAAGGTGAGGAGAGATTTTAGCCAAGAAAAGCCTATTTTGGGTACATTCTGGAGCTATGCACCACCAAGAGTTTTTAGCCACAATTAGAAACTGGTCCAGCAACCACCCATCCTGTCTTTGGCTAATACAGTGATAATAAATAAATAAAATAAATAAAAGAGCTAATACAGTATTTAAACCACATTTGTCACCCCTTTTCATTGTCACCCCTTTTCATCCCTTTCATCCAAGCAGCTGAACATCCACTCTAAAAGTACTAGTGGAGAAGTAATTTTTAGGTGCAAATAAGATTGACAGGTTATGTTATTTTATTTAAGAGACTTTTTGCATTTAAAAATTAAGAATTTTATCTTAGGGTCAAGAATTTAATCTTAGAGGCTATGAAATATCACATCTGCTCAAGGTAATGCCCAGAAATAATTTTTCCTGTCTTGCTCATGCTATTATTTATCAAAACCTTTTTCCCCCAAGACTGGAAAAAAAAAATCTCCTCTGCACTGTCACCTTCCCATTTTCAGGCAGAAACTGAAATTCTAAAAAATTACTAGCTGAGGAGGGATGCATATATTCTATATATACATTCCCCTCCTGTCATGCATTTCCCCACAGCTTCCCCACAAGTCAGAGCTGATGTTGTCCCTCCTGTGGCAAAGACACCTGCAAGTGCTCACAGCAGCATGGAGGAGATTTGCCTGTGGCTCACAGAAACAGAGCAAGGCTTCAGTACTGTAGCTCAGAATTCCTCCCACCACAGGCTTTTCCTCACATGGCCATTGATACACATAATCCTGGCCCTGCCATCCTGGGGACAGGGAGATGAAAACTCAGCTGAAAACCTACCCTTAGAGTTACAATCTAAAATTAAACACACACACACATACACACACTCCCGCAATGCCATTGCCAAAACATTAATTTATATCTATTTATTTTGAGTAAAGTACTGCAGTATCTAATGTTGCCATGTGCAAACAAGAACTCTTGGTATTTAATTGGTTTGTTTTCTCTTATAAATTGGAAGTGTCTCTAGCTGTAGGAAGGCAGGAAGGCTGGTTTGGATACACAGAGTGTAAGAAATCCCTTTGACATCTAGGATTTCACAGTTCCAGTGCTGCTGTTCTCCACAAATCCCTGCCTATCCTACATAAATGATCCCCATTATCTCATAGGATGATGTTAGAGATTGCAGAGAAAAAAGCTGTGCAAAGCAGACCTCTTGCATGACTGGGAAGATGACAGAGTATGGATGTACAGAGTGGGGCTGCAGGACAGCCCACAGCAGATCATCACCACTGACCTGTCCATGGTTTTGGGGTTGTCTTTTTTTGCCATCCTCAAGTGCCAAGAGAAGCAGTGAGGTAAACCTTTCTCATTATGCACCAAACATACAAATAAGACTCCATTATGTTCCTAAGATTCCTGTCTAAGACTCCCCACTTTTGTTCCCCATGATTTCTTGGCCCAGGGCTGCAGGAAGGGCTATTTAGCAGGTGGAAGCAGGGTGATGGCTTATAAGAGGCTTTGTCTCCATCAGTCTGCCCAATAAGAAATGGTTTCAAACTTCCCCCAAGAGAGCTGTTCCCATGTAGTGGCTTGCAGGCACACCCAATGCTTAAGCCCTGTTACCTTATATTCTCTCTCTCATTGGGTTTTAAAGTGTTTCAAATACCACACTTGCAAACTGGAAAAACTTAACAGCTTTCAGCAAGTTGCTGCATTTCCTTAGTCAGAAGGAGGGTGTTTGCCTGAGAGCAGTTCATTTTCCTAACCCATGTACTAGATGCTGAGACCTACTGGATGTGGAGCAGCATGGAGCCATTCCCTGCGACCTT